TTTGCACACGTGTATAGTGAGATAGTGGGATACTAAGCATAAGACATGTGCACATGTGTATAGTAAGATAGTGTGATACCAAGCATAAGGCATGTGCACACGTGTATAGTGAGATAGTGTGATACCAAGCATAAGGCATGTGCACACGTGTATAGTAAGATAGTGATACCAAACATAAGACATGTGCACACGTGTATAGTAATATAGTGATACCAAACATAAGACATGTGCACACGTTTATAGTGAGATAGTGTGATACCGAGCATAAGGCATGTGCACACGTGTATAACACACACATCCATAGACCACACCTGTCAGCTCCCAATCCCTTGACCAGATCGAAGGCTGTGGTGGTAGCAGCAACGTGTGAAGCGCCATAGGCCTTTGCCAACTGAACCAATGCATTACCCACCCCACCCGCACCACCCAGGACGAGCACGCGGTCCCCTTTCTTCATGTACCGTTCAATACCTACCAACAACAGGTGCAGAAGGCAGGGGTCAGGGTAATACGCAGGTCACGTGGGGGTGTTTGAGAGAGCTATGGAGATATGGGAATATGGGGTGTGGGGGGATACGAGGACATACGCAAGAAGAACTCCAAAGGGGTAGATTGGGGGTTATAGTAACTTACAAAGGAATAGATTGGGGGCTATAAAAACCAAAGGGGTAGAATAGGGGTTTAAACCCCTCGAAAGGGGTATATAAAGGTATAGAAATATCCCACAAAGGGGTATACAAAGTTTTAAAAATATCCCCCAAAGGGGTACGGCATGTACGCAATCGGAGTAGATGATATGCGATGCACATCTCACAGTAATAACTCCCATTTAAACCAACTTATGTTTCCATTTAAAACCATCCAATAGAATGACTGTGTATGTTGAGTAGGCTCGCTGCATAGATCTACATACACCAGTATGTGGGCCATAGAATCTGTACTATAAATCGTGATAGCTACATATATACCGGTATCACGGAAAACGCTTCGCCTTTGTTCTGTCGTGGCTAACACGAGACTATGTAATGCACACACCCACGAACAGGCATCGTATAGCACATACATAGATATACATCAACCTCTTCTCACACTCAAACAACTCAACTAACATCTCCACGTACCTATCATAGCTGCCTTAGCCGTGGTGGGCAGCGTGCACGCCTCCGCCGATGTGGCTGTAACTGGCTTCAGTTCTGCGAGATACGTCTGGACAGTTCGGTACTCAGCTATGCCGTCAAATGGCACGGTATCAAACTGGGCCACAACGCAGTCGCCTACTTTGAACTTCGTCTCAGTATCGTTGACTCGCGCGACAATCCCACAGACATCCCCACCCTGATGGAAGATTGATGTGTGAATGTTCTCGAACTAGTTGAATGTATTTCAATAAGGCTCAGTCCCGACGTAGCTATACCTGTGTGCATACGTGCAAGTGTAGATACGCACACACACACAC